TAACAAATTGACAGACAAAATAAACAGCTCTCGAAATAGAAAGCCATATTGAAAGCTGTATTGCTGAATTTACCATTGCAATGAAGCAAATAAAATGTACATGTAATTTACAATTCATGGATTAAAGCAAACAATGAAATTTGTTTAGTATATATATAGTCTATTCATTAAAGCCAAAGTACAGACACATTTACTAGCCTGACATTTTATAAATACTAAGATTAATTTTAAAACAAAAACAAACCACTTGAACTTCTTATGGCCATCACAAGCTTTAATATGATAAAACACCTTCAATAAGAAAATACACTTTTTTTCAAACTGTTTCTTTTTTTTCTTAAAAAAAATCCCTGAAGTCTTTTTTTCCCTTTTCAGTATAGGCACTGTTACCTTTGTTATAATATTGATACATCTTGAGTACAAACTGTAGAAAACAAGAGTTTAAACACACCAAATTCATATAAAATCTAAACCTACATCATGTCATACAAATCACAAAATTACAGAAAGTGAGGTAGATTGGAGTAGTTGATGATATGCAGGTGTGTCTTGAATTTATTTCACTGAAAAAAAGAGCGAAAAATAGATTAGTCAAGGTTTCCTGGTCTTTCTCTGAATTGTTGTCAAGGATACAAGCTATACAGGGAATGTGTACAGTAAAAAGTTAACTTGCAACACTCCCATTCATCGCTAACCTAAGACATGCCTACGGCTAAGCTATAAATGGAGGAAGATGGTTCAATGTCATCCACCCAGATCTCAACGAGTGTACTTACTATGTTGATAATGATGATGAGATGGTGGTGTTGATATCATTTCACCATTTCTGATTGGATATCCTGCTGGATCCAGCATACCATGCATGTGTGGTTTTGATGGAGTCACATAACCGCTATTCACTGCATACTACAATAGATAAGAAAAGCAGCATTGTGATGGATTGTAAGACCATATTTAACAATGTATAGGTTATTCAGTTATGGTATAGTAGTATCTAAACAAATATTGCCACACAACTACGGAGAATTCCTTTTCACCTTGCACACCCCAACCCGTATGGAACCAAATATTTAAAAAAAATTGACTAAGTCGATCATTATGAATCAGAATGTCAATATATTGAATATGACATAGAGGTATGTCACTAAAAACATAATAACATTTTAAAACAACGTACACGACCCAAATTTATAGTTCCTCTTTTAGGACGGTGACTGAACTGGAACTAAAGAGATACTACCAAGGTTACCGCTAGATAATTCCTAGGATGATTAGAAACACCAAATGACTCTAAAGAAGTTGAAGTGACCATATCAAAAATCTCATTCATGCTTGCTACTGGGATTTTGCATTGGGTTGTAGGAAAATCACTTTATCAACATAAATCTTGAGAATGCATAGCGTAACGTCCACCACTCTTTGAATGTCCAGAACATGCAATGCAAACGCATTTGTACGTATATACATGTATGCATGATTATTTTTCCAAAAGAGGAATGTGCATAAATGTAACTTGCCAGTCTATGAAAATAATATACATGTACATGTTTCAACAACATTTATACAAACTTCTTAGTGATTAAAAAAAAGGTTAAAGAAATTAATTTACCTGTTGAGGGAACATGTGATTTGGCACATCTTTCCTCATTGGGAGTTGTTGTTGTTGTTGATACATTGCTGATTGTTGTTGCATCTGGTGGTAACGCTGCTGTTCTTGTAGATATTGATGGTACATAGGATGGTTGGGATTCAACCTGGGATCGTGTGGTGCTCTAATGCCGTGAACTGCTTGGCTAACTCTGGGATCGTGTGGCATCATATGCATCGGAGATTGGTTCATTTGCCGATTCGCCGTGAGAAGATGCCGCAGACTCGGCGATGACTGGTTAAATCCTGGATGTCCAGGTGGCAAGTGCTGCATTCCCATCGGTGATTGGTTAAAAACGCCTGGATAACCATGTGGCGCATAGTGTGACATTGGTACAGGTGCTCTTTGCATGGGCCTTGGTTGATTGTCTAAGTCTAGAAAGGTTTTGGGACTCTCAGGCTGATCATCAATACCCTCAGCATTAGACAGTTTTGTACATTTTGGCTGATTGTCTAAATTAAGGAATTCCTTGGGGCTCTGAGAGTGTTCATTTAAATCAGCAAATATACTACTAGTTACAGGACTAGAATTGTCAATTGCAGACATAACCTGACTTAGTGGATTTGTAGAAGAAAGATACATGGAAGAAGAATCTACATGACTGTTTTCACGAGCAGTAGTTGGTCCATTTAGATTGAATTTATTAAAATCACCTGCTTTGTTTGCATATTGCGGCCCATTTATTGGGGATGGAGCTAGTTCATTTCGAAAATCAGGTACAGAAGGTTTTAACACTTTTGAGGGATGGGAAATAGCAGACTTGTCACTCATGCCACGTTTACGGTTTTCCTTTGCAGGTTTAGAATCATTGCTTTTGGAGAAATTGAGATATTCGCCGACGAAGGCATCTGGTGTTTTATTTAACGAGGAAGGCATTGACATGAGTGGAGGATTTACTGGTTTATCTGGCAGACTTTTGGTAGGCACTGTATTTGATGTAGTCACAGGTGTAGGCAAAGTTGTGTCAGAGTTCTTGGAAGCAAGAGACACGCAAGGTTCTGAGGCAATATCTCCAACATTGACTGTATCAGGTATGGAATGTCCTGCTGACTTTGCAGTAGCGTTGGGCTGTTTTGAGTCGTTAGTATTCATTTTTGATGGTTGGTCCTTATCATTATTGTCAATAGGCACAAGTTTGGGCATTTGTGGCGGCTGTGAATTTGGGTTTTGTATTCCCTGCCTTTGCAGGATAACATCTTGAGACTGACAAGGTACCTCCTTAGAGAGAGGTGGCATGCCTTGTGAACTTGGTGGCATGCTTTGTGAACTTGGTGGCATAGTTCGTGAACTTGGTGGAATGCTTTGTGAACTTGGTGGCATGCTTTGTGAACTTGGCGGCATGCTTTGTGAACTTGGCGGCATGCTTTGCGAACTTGGCGGCATGCTTTGAGGATGCATCGTCATGCTTCGGGAGTGTGGTGGCACTTCTTGAGCTTGTGAAGTCATGGCCTGAGAACTTGTTGACACTCTGCTGGAGTCTGGTGGCATGTCTTGAGAAGTTGGTGGTATCCCATGAGAAGTTGGTGGCATACT